AGGGGGCTGTAGCCAAAATGAGTTTGTCTTTTAAGCTCTTCATCCATTCATCCAAATTAGGCCTTAACATGCTTGAATTGCATGAATTATGCTCTCTTGCCCTATTTGCCTACAAAACACACAAAGGGAGGCAAATAACTTAGAAATCTAAGAAACTAAGCAAAAGAAGTAAGTAAATAGGGCATGTATATGTATGAAATTATGAGCTTAACAAAATTCCATCTGCCTCTTGTGATGTTGCCATTTGATGCTTTGCACCAGTTCTCTTGAATCCGATTCAAAGCATACCTGCGAGACATTCCTTTCAATTGTCTTGATCCTCTAAAAGATATGTTTGATCCACCACTACCGCAACATTGCCCCGTGTGCCACAACTTAGGCCCCGTGGGAAACTACTAAATTTGAAATCACCCGATGCCCAGACCTAAAAAAATTGAAGCATGTTAAAATTATTAGATAATGTAGCATAGAATACTTCAAAATCAGCTGAACGTATTCAGAAGAAGAGGCCTTTGTTCAATGGTACATACAAAGTGCAAATAGTCCTCACTTTAATAAGTGAGAAAATTTACTATAATTAGAGACTGAGAAAATTTATTTTCGAAACAAAACTTGTGGAGCGAGTGACGAAGTAGAGGGAAAACGGACTAGCTTCCCCAAGTGCCATCCACATGAATTTTCATCGTTCAATTGCTGACATTTTGTTGAGATGCACTTTGGACATCAGAGCATGACCATGAGCCTGAACTAGAAGTAATCTCCTGGGAATTAATGGCTTCTATCGGACTTTCTATAAGACGCTGGAGGAACTGTGGGATTGGCGGTATACTAACATCTGAAACTCCCTCGAGAATTTGAACAACCTGCGTCATTTTTGGCCTATCCTTCTCGTCTTCTTGAATGCACCAACACGCGACTCTGCATGCTCTTGTGAGTTCATCTCTGTCAGCTTGGCCTTCCAACCTGTAGTCTAACAAGGTAACAGCATCTTCTCCTTTATTAACTACATTTGCAACCTGGATAGGACGGTAGTTTTCTAACCCCTCATCTAAGCCTTCTCTGTTTCTCCTTCCCGATATAACCTCTATCAGCAACATGCCATAGCTGAAGACATCGGCTTTTGGCGTGATAGCTTCACCTGAAAACCATTCTGGTGCAAGATAGCCAACAGTTCCTCTCATGGTTGTCAGAACACGACTGTGGTGTCTGCCCATGAGTTTTGCAAGACCAAAATCTGCCAATTTTGGACTGTATTCTGCATCCAACAAAATGTTCTCAGGCTTTATGTCACAGTGTATGATGCAGTCTCTGCACTCCTCATGAAGGTAAGCCAATCCTCTGGCAGTTCCAATTGCAATATGATATCTAGTTTTCCAATCTAACATTAGTGGATTCTTCTGCAGCAAGAGAGATTGTAGAGAACCATTTGGCATGTACTCATAGACTAAAAGTCTTTTTGAGGTTTCTGCGCAAAATCCCCTTAGTCGAACAAGATTAATGTGATGGATTGCACCAATAGTTCCAACTTCAGCACGAAATTGCTTCTCTCCCTGCTCGAGAGTTTTGAGTTCTTTCACTGCTATGGCAGTCGAATTAGGCAATATCCCTTTAAAAACTGAACCAAAACCTCCTTCCCCAAGTTTTTCGGAGAAGTTCTTTGTTGCACTTCTTAAATCTCTGTACTTGAACAACAGTAGAGAATTCTCGACTATTTCCAATGCTATTACTGGCTTTCTCCTTCTGATAAATACCATGAGTATACTTACAACAAAAAGGCACCCTGCAAGTACTCCGGCAACAATCCATTTAGTCTTTCTGTCTGTCTTATTCGGATCTGCAATTCGAAGATACAAGTCTTTGCCTATGTTTCCATACAATATTGCATCTGGTGTTAGTTGCTTTAGATTGAATATTTCCCCTTTCCAGATCAGACACTTGTTATCGTAAGCAAAAGCAGTGCAAAAGCAATTTCTTGAGCATGCTAATCTACATTCATCAATGTTCGCAACCGCTAATAAAGACTCAGAATTGTTGGGATAGAGAACATTAGGCATCACCAAAAATGAGTGATATCCCCCAGCACTGCACTGAAATCGAGTTCTTCGCACACAACCATCTGAGTGAGCTCCTAATTTCCAATCTTCTGGGATTTTGGGTTCAAACCCATTCAGGCAACTACAATGAGGCCACTTCTGCTGGTTGCAGATACTAAAAGCACCACAGAGTGCATAGACCTCACATTGTTCAAATGGGACAAAAAATTCTAATTCCCACCGCCTGATGTCTTTATGCCAAACATATTCATTGAGCTGACCATTAATTTCTAACTTGCGTCTGCTCAAGTTATGAGGATACCCAGAAAAAGTATAATAGCTTAAAACATATTCATAATCATTCCAGAACAATGAAAAACCTTCTCCACCTTGTTGTAGCTTATAAGAAAAGTGACCAGGTGCGGGGTTTTGTGGGCTTCTCCAGGAAGTAAGAATTAGTTCTTGCTTGCTATGATTATTATATCCTAGCTTCGCACCTGGCAGCAGAGTATCAGTTGGGTGATCGAAACTCTGCCATATAACCGCAGATGAATCAAATGCATTTCTTATAACAAAGTTCCCATTGTCAAGAAGCATTGCTACAGTAGAATTAGAAACATTTGATCTTGAATTAGTTGACCATATTGCAACTGTGGAGGGGCTACTTAAGGTCAAGTTTCCATTTTCTAGGAGTTGCAATACTGAAGAACTTGGTTTAGAAACAGGCTCTCTTCTGTTTGCTACCCAAACTATGGTCTGATTAGGTAAATTTTTGTACCAAATGCCGATGTAATAGTTTCGAGAATTACCTGGAGTGAAGAAACCCAGCTCAAATATGCCACTTGGAGAGGTGATTTTCTGCCTGCCAGAAAGAGATTGGCCTCGAGAGATGGTGTGAGATGCCATGGAGATACAAGCATTGAAGGTAAGACATAACAGAAGCATAACAAACTGAGAAATGATGAAGTTGTTTTTGCTAGCGATATCCATCTCTTCATAAAATTCAAACAAAGAGTACGTAAGATTTGCTGCAAGGAGAACAAGCCAAACTTGGCCTTCCGTTTCCTATTTTTCTTCCTTTTCGTATTTTTCTTCCTTTCAGACCCCCCAATTTTGCTGCAAGTCAACTAATCCAGTCAACAAAAGGACTTATGATCCACAAATTCTCCAGAGCAACAAAGTAAACTATGACTTGTCAAATATTGCAACTGGGCTTGTAAATAAAGCCCCCGCCCGATGGGCTAGCCCGAACCCAGCCCGATTTGTTTAATTATGGGCTTACCCAGCCTGATGTAATGGGCGGGCTTAGCCCTGCCCGATGTCTAATGGGCCCCTTGTTTTAAAACCCTTAAAAAGCCCGGGCGGGCCCGATATAATTAATTAACTTATATTTAAATTAACAATTATGACAATTTCATGATATTTGGTCAGCAATGACATTGATATTTGGAAACCTTTTGATAAAAAATGGGAGGTTGAAACCGATGTGGTACTGGGCCGATACTTCAAGTAATTCGTGCATGTTGTGGAGGTTCTTTTTGGCTATTTGGTCAGCAATCACATTGATAGGGAACACTCTTGTGGATAGCATGATGTTCATAACAACACTTCTGTTTTGAAAAGACACAAAAACTCCATTTAAAGGTGCCCATGCATGCTTCTTTTCATCGTGTTTTTCTTCAAAATAATGTATGATTTCTAAGAAAATTGGTTTCTTTACATTGACCAGACCATCAATGATGTTGTAGTGGGAATGACACAAGCACAAGCAGGTCTCTCAAGGTATTTGAACCGCAAATGAGTTTAAAACAAAGCATGCATAAAGCTATTTAACATATTTTATTCTCAATGAATACTTGGATTCGATATATCCTCATCCCTTTCACCATTAGTTTGCAAGATGATCCCTTGGATTATATTCGTGGAGCCAAAGCCCTCACTGATAGGAAAGAGCACTCACTTGAAGCCACATCTTGACTGCCAATCTCTTAACCAAATTATTAGAAGAAGCTAAGGTACAAATGAAATATATTCTTAATTATCATTTTTTATAAGTAAGTAGCTAATCATTTGTATGATTAAGTAGCTAATCATTTTTATGATTAAGTATCTAAGAAGCCACAATAGTTATTATAACCCATTCAAAGGACATGCTAAAAAGAACAGTCTACGAGTGCCAAGTCATAATAGATTACCAACATTCTAAAAAAACATAGATTATACTAGGGGTGGGCACGGTACGTTATTGAGCTCGTACAGCTACCGATATCAAAAATTAAAACTGGTATGGTACAGCATGGGATTATCGTTTGCCAAAGTTGGTATCGTACCATACTGTGCCAAATCGGTATCAGTACGGTATCGGTACCATTTCAGTACCAAAATGACACAACTCAAAAATAAACCAATTCAATATTCAACAAATTCATTCATCAAAATAAGTGATGTCTAAGTTACATATTCAAAGATTCAACATATTCAATATCCAAATCCTAATCAACCAAATCAATATCCATCAACAAATTCAATATCAACAAATTCCTCACACCATGACAAATGAAGAGCCATGTATATTTGTCATCAAGTGGAAAGTGACAGGACCCGACCCAAATTCCACTTTAGAATCTAAGCCGAACTTTGTGCGTGTCCGACACCTGGTGGGTGCTGGGCACAAACGACCAAATTGCCTCTCTAACTAAAATCCAAATTTATTTCAAGTTTGACTTCTGCCGAAAATTCGGCAAAGTCTCCCCTGTAACTTGCTCATTTCCCAAAATTTCCACCTGTCATACAAGCATTTATATAACCCAATCGTTTAGCATACACAAAACAGAACTCATGCAACCAAACATCACATCATTTTGGCCTCATGCCTCTTAAAATCAGATAAAACATTTTACCAACAGAAACTGATCCAAACTTTGGAACAAAGCGAATACGTCTCCGATTTCAAGGTAACTAAACTGAACAACTTTCCATTTATTTGGACTCGCGGTTGCACCTAGTAATTCTAGGTTGCCTACGTACCCTTAACCAGGGATCAAGCCACACGTAATTCTTTCTCTAATTTATAATCAATATATATATATATCCAACAAGCTCCAAAGGCACCTTTAAGCTTTCCTTCGTACTCACATAAGGCTCAAATACAAATTTATATACATATTTACTCCTTACAAAGATGTAGGATAACAAGAAAATTATTTAAATAGCATTGACTACGCAAAGAATTAATATCCGAAACAACAATTTAGGTAAAATATGCTTCTCTCTTTCACATAAGCGATAATGACTCATCGCTTAAGAAAATACTCGTAAGCTGTATAAAATCCTTAAACTTAGAAAATCTTTAATATTTAGTTTAAACCTTTTAAAACTCAATCGTTCTCCACCTCGGCGTACCCCCATTTATATTTCCGTCAATTCTTTTAATAAGCCGTCAATTCCAATAAGATTCCGTCATTCCAATATCTTTATATTTGTTTCCCACATTATACCGTCAATTCCTTGTGTCACAGAATATGACACATCCTCGCAGGCCTCGGTAACACAAAGTCAATCCGAGCCGCATTCCTCGCAGGCCTCAGGGGACCATTAGTCAGCCTTAGCCGCATTCCTTGCACCACATTGTTCGGGCGTCCCCGAAACTCATGGGGAGTTATTATCAATGACAAAACTGTTTCAAGGTAACTAGGGGTACTCCCGTGGAGGGTTCCGTTGAATTTGCATCCAACGGTGAGTGACCACAAATCTCTTGGACCCCTGTAGTCCAAGAGATCAGGATTAAATATAGACATGTATTTAGATATTTAGTTAATTTTATTAATCATTTCGAAATCCAATGAACGAACCATTCCATTTCAGTACTATAATAATATATTATATATATAACTAAATATTATATTATATATAGTAATAGATAACTAAATAGATAAATAATTAAATAATAATTAAATAAATAGTTAAATAACCACTACACAATCCATATACTTTATTTATAACCATAGTAATGTAAATAAAAGAAAAGTAGTAGCCTTTATCCCATACCCTCCATAACCTATATTGAATCAATTTTCAATCCAAACTCAATATGCACAAAATTTTATAATTGGAAAACGAAATACACTTAACCATGAATGTCCACCCACTTCTTAATAATCATAGTCCAGTTCCATGACTCACTTTCACAACCAATAATTCAAGTATCCCAAAATCATATATTCCATCGTTTCAAATATTGCAAACTTCAAATAATATGTAGCATCCGATAACCCCACATTTTTGCTTATCACATATTTGAGTAGATAAAGAAGTTCTAGAAGGCAATGTACTAGATGATGACCCATCATTCTTTTTCTCAAAAAAAGACAACAAATTCTTTTTTCTCTTGGGATTCCAATTGTGATCCGACATAATAAAAGATAGCCTATGAATAATATATAGAAATAATTTTAATCAAACATACCAACAAAAAATCAAACAAATTCTCATAATCGCATCTCAACAATACCAAACCAAAAATTATAATTCATCCATAATTAAACCCTAAAATACTCAATTTTAACAAAATCCCAAATCAAAACCCTAGAATAATTCATCCCTAATTAATTTCAACAAAATCCCAAAATTATAATTCATCCATAATTAAACCCTAGAATAATCATTTTTAAATTAAAACTATAATTAAAGATATATAGCAAAGGAGAGAATGAGAATAATATTTGTTGTTGACAAAAGGAAAGGAGAAGATGTTGTTGCCAAGTTGCCTACCCAAGATTATAGAAGATGTAGCCAATAGAGGGAGAATTTGAACACCCCCCCCCC